ATGTTTTTGAGTATTATTTTAAAGAAAATAATAAGAAATAACAATAAATACTTTCAAAAAAGAATCCTTTTACACTTCTTTATACTTTTTACAAATATACAATCACCAATTTCAAAGTTTACAGAGATACATCAATTTTGATATGGACTTACAAAATTTCATTTTATTTTATAGTAAATTACATGAATGGTTCTTACGGTTTGGGGTAATTTGCACGTTTGGACCCTAACTTATTTTTTTAACTCGGAAGATCCCTATAGTTTATTTTTGTTACACGCTTGGTGTCTGTCTTACCTAAAATACTATTTTGCCATTGATTTTTAATTTATGTAAATAAAATGGGGTAGGTAAGGTGAGGTGGAAGTGAGGTTAGGGTGTATTTATTTAAATAAATTTAAAAAATCAAGGGTAAAATAGTTTTTTAGATAAGATAAGGACCAAACATGCAAAAAAACAAACAGTACGAACCTTCCGAGTTAAACAAATAAGTTAGAAAGCAGATTACTAAAAGTTACTAAAAGTTTATCAATTTTCCAATACCAAATTGCAATTTCACAACCCAAAATTTACTAAAAGTTTTACATTTTCTGAGTTATGAGGATCTCCAAAAACCAATTTCACAATACAAAGAAATTTCACAGTTCGAAAGCAGATTACTAGGTTGAAAGGAATGTGCGAAAAAAGAATGTATTAAACAAGGGAAAACAGTTTCCTATTTGATTTAGTATTTTTATTATAACGAAATTAACACATCAATTAGTTATAATACATTAGAGATTAAAATTAATCTTTGAAACAAACTATTCATTGATATATTGTATGCTATTTTGAATATAAAATTTTACCTAAATAAAATTAAATCTTGAAAGAACAATTTGCCGGAGTGCACTATTTGCAGAAAAGAAAATATTTGTCATCCGCCGCATTGCACGGGCCAATACCTAATATGCAGAAATGAGTGTTTACTTACTCTTACACCATATTTCCAAGTTTTTAAGGAAAAAAGGGAATGAAATGAGAGAACATTTATGTTACTGTTTTTTTCTTTCTTATTTCACAAGGAAAGGAAAATAATGATAATAAAATACGTCTTTCGAGTTTTATATAAGGTGGATAATAAAAGCAATGAAAGGAAATGAAATAACAATTTTTTTTCGCTAAAAATCTATCCCCTAAAAATTAGGATGGTTAGAAAGGACAGTTTAAGGAATATTTCATTTCTTCATTTTCCTTTTCTTTTCTTTTATTCCCCTCAATTTTAAACTAGGCTAAAACGGGGTTTAGCCTTTTTGTTTTTCTATTTTGCTTCAAGAAAAATCTAAAGTTAAGAGTTAATTAGTAAAATACCAAAAAGATGGGATCCTATCACAAAATGATATTCTTTTGTAGGGGTTTTCGTTTGGATGGATCGATATAATCCAATCTAATAAAGTGAACCAAAATTGATTTTGATTTTCAAAACATGATTATAAATATTTCAAACTAAATTCAAATCCGAAATGAACCAATCAAATAAAAATTTGGTTGAATCGATTTTTAAAATTCAGTTTTCAAGAGACAAACATTTTAGAAAATATACAACCTGAATATTGATCAACTTTAAACAAAAATAAACTGTTTGGTTTAAAATTAAAATTTATGAACAAGTATTCAAGAAATATATTATAATTAATATTTAATAGTTAAAACTCTTTTGAGAAGTATACATTAAGGTATTTTATTGGATAATACATTCTAATCTATATAAAAATACAATTTAGTAATTGATAAATAATTATAAGATGCATATTGAAAACATATATATATATATATATATATATATATATATATATATATATATATATATATATATATATATATATATATATATATATATATATAGGTTTAGGTTCTATGGAAAACAAAAAACCCTAAAATTCATAAAAATACATAAAAAATACTTAGACATCACAAATATTTGTTTTGACTTTATATTCTTAAAAATCGTAACTTTTTATATAATTTTGTTGATTTATTTTTGAAAAAAATAAAAAAAATAAAAAAAAATAAAAATAAAAAATAAATAAAAAGTAAAAAAATACAAAACCGATTTTTTTTTTTCAGCGGATTTATTAAAAAAGCTGCGATTTTTAAGAATATAAAGTCAAAAAAAGATTAGTGATCTCTATGTATTTTTTTATGTATTTTAGTTATTTTTTTTTTCATATAACCATTCCCTATATTTATAATGAACTCTTATTTGTTTTTTTTTACTATTCAAATATAATTTTATAAATCATAATCAATCCGAAATTCAAAATTATAATTTTGTTTTGCTAAAAATTCATCCAAAAATCTGAATATTCGAACTAAATAATCAAGTATAAATTATACAATTAAATAACTCACTTTTATTCAAATAAGATAAAAAAAACCATAATCTTTTGAACATTTATCTTGAGAACGTCTAATCATTTTGTAAAATGACAAAATGGAATTTGTAGAAGGTCATGGTTTCGGATTAGCAAAAAGTCTTTTCACAAAGCAAGTAAGTATGACTATTTGTAATAAATATTAAAAAAAAAAATGGGTTATCATGAGAAGAAGAAGAACAGCACACATTTATGATCCAGTTACCAGTGGTTTGAGAAAAGAATCAACTGGTAAAGCCCAAGAGTAGAAAGGAAAGTGTTTGGTTGGTTTTGAAATAGAAAGAAAGCCCAAGTGTTTGCCCTCCCAAAAGTTTTTTTTGAAGACAATCTCCCTGCATTTCCGATTTTACTTTAATATAAATAGTGTCACGGAATTTAGATTATCTATCACTCCGCACAATACAAAAATTTCTTCACCTCTTTTCTGTTTCACCGCTTATTTCCTCTTCTCCAACCTCGTTTGGTTTTGCTACAAACAAGTAATCATTGTTTTCAAAACTTCGATCCAAAGGTGATTGAAGTTGTTTCATTTTGTTGGGTGCTTAGATCTGCCCCAATTTTTTCCCTGAGGGTTACTTCACAGGTTTGCCTTTTTCTCTCATTCATAATTTATCAAGTAGATTTACTGCAATTTGTCTCTGATTTACGTTTATCCTTAACAAAGCTTGTTATCCGGTCATTATCTGCAGGGATGAAACGATTACGGGATGATGGATATGGTAGCTCTCAATTTAAGAGGCCATTTGGTTCTTCCCGAGGGGAATCGTAAGTTCATGTTTTCAAATTGCTTTAATTTTGTGGTTTTGGTGCTCATTCATGCTCTGATTACGAGTCCTTTTTATGTGTTGCGGTGATTTGATGTAGGGATAATCTTTTTTTTTGTGTGTCTGTTTCAAGCAATTTTTTTTTTTCATAATTGTTTGTGACGTAGGATTTGCTTAAACTTTTATAGGGTTTAGTTTTGAAACTGCTGGATTTAGTCGATGTAACATGCTTTTTTGAAAAGGGAATTGTACGATTTAAATGAATTGGTGTTCAAAATCGCATCTACTATTGATCTTTTTATTAGGCTATGTTCTTCATTTCTCCTTTTTTTTTTTTTTATTTTTTTTTTTTTTTTTACATTTAATTTATGGGCGAAGTCTCTAATTCTCAACTTTATCAGACCGTGTAGATTTTTGTTTCTAGCCTTTTAGGGTTTGGTGGTTGATATCGTTGTGGCAGAAATGCCTCTATCAGAACACCAAAATGAGAAAAAGGAAAAAGTCAATTGAAAATATCAATAAATTTATTACTATTTATTATTCTTCAGTTGACTCTTTCGATGGGTGCATGAAATGAAATCTTTCTAAGTAAGTGAAATTAAAACCAAAAAGTTCCACAGGGTGTTACATCACACGACATGAAGCAAACTGTGGGAAATTACACAAGATTTATTAGCCGATCTTAGAACTGTTTGCATATGCCATTTAAACTTATCTTTGTTATTCATCATACTGTTAATCACAAATTTAAAATTTTATTTTTTACACTTTTCTTTTTATATTGAAGATATGGCCAACCACAAGTCCCGGGAGGAGGAGGAAGTGAAGGGGCAGGTGCTAGTGTAGGAGGAGGAGGAGGAGGAGGAGGAGGTGGTGGTGGTGGTGGTGGTGGTGGGGTGGGGGTTGGGGGTGGGGGAGGTGCTAGCGTGCACAAAAACTCACAACCAATGATGCATTGACTTATTTAAAGGAGGTCAAAGACATGTTTCAAGATCAGAGAGAGAAATATGACATGTTTCTTGATGTGATGAAAGATTTTAAAGCTCAAAGGTACATAATTTTCTATTGAAAGTATATCATTATACAACATTGACTCTGCCTAATTGAGAATTGTTTCTTTGATGCAGAATTGATACTACTGGTGTCATAGCAAGGGTGAAAGATTTATTTAGAGGTCACAATAATTTAATTTTTGGATTTAACACCTTCTTGCCCAAGGGTTATGAAATTACTGTTATCGAGGAGGATGAGGTCCCACCAAAGAGAACAGTGGAGTTTGAAGAAGCTATAAGCTTTGTAAACAAAATAAAGGTATAGACCATGATCAGCATTGCCATATTTTGAGTTTTTGAATATGACTATCCTACCCTTTGTGTGCAGAAACGTTTTCAAAATGATGATCATGTTTACAAATCATTTCTTGACATCTTGAACATGTATAGAAAAGAGCACAAGGGTATCAACGAAGTCTATCATGAGGTAAACTTCTTTATTTTTACTTTTTTTAAATAAAATCAATAATCATCCTACCCTTTGGTGACAGTTTGTAATTTACGCAGGTAGCCTCACTTTTTGATGATCATCCGGATCTTCTTGAAGAATTCACAAGATTTTTACCGGATGCTTCTGCTGCTGCATCTGCACATCAAGCTTCGTTAGGGAGGCATGCATATGATCGGACCTCAGGTGGGGTCCCACTAAGACTGGCACAGATGGACAAGGTAGTAACTTTTCAACATTTTCATATGTATTTTTCTTGATTTTCAAAGGGGTTGATTTTGTTATTGTTGATTAGCAACGAGGGAGGAGAGATAGGGTCAATGGTCCACATGCTGAAAGGGACACAAGTGTTGATTGTCCTGATATGGATGATAAATCAATGATGAAGCTTCACAAGGATCAGAGGAAGAAGGACAACAGGGAGAGGAGAAATAGTGATGATCCTGATCTTGATAACAACAGGGATAGGGGACATTAAACGGAAATCTGCACGTAAAGTGGAAGATTTTGGAGTACATTCAGGTTCAGCTCCATATGATGATAAAGATGCCCTCAAAAGTGAGTAGTAGATGCTTTTTTCATATTATGTTTTTTTTAAAGTGTTTTAACAGTTTGTTGTTTGTTAATTATAGGTATGTATAGCCAAGAATTTACTTTCTGTGAGAATGTGAAGAGTAGATTACGCAATCCAGATGATTATCAAGCATTCTTGAAATGCCTTCATATATACAGTACAGAAATAATTACCAGGAAGGAATTACAGAGCTTGGTATATATTTTATATCCAGTTGTCTTTTTCTTTGGCATTACATGAAAAAAAATACAGTGCTCCAGAAGAAGTCTTTTTTTTGTTCTTCGAATCAGACAGTGTATGCTGTTAAATTTGATGTCTTTGATTTTCTTTATCAGGTTTCGGATTTACTTGGGAAGCATACAGATCTTATGGAAGGATTTGGTGCATTTTTGGAACGTTGTGAAAACATAGGTGGCTTTTAGATTACGTATTTTTTGTTTTACTCTTTTGAGAATTCCTTTTGTATTGTTACTAATGTATCTTGTTTGCAGATGAGTTCCTTGCTGGTGTTATGGATAAAAGTATGTGTGACTACTTGTTTTTGTTCTGTTTGTATACACATCTTTTAACATACAAGTTTAAGGGAAAATTGCAGGAAATAGCAACATACTTTACTCTTTTTCACCAATATAGACATTGTACTTCATTTTTTTTCCATAATAACAATTTGCTTACATATTTTACCTATACTAGAAACACACATACATTCTTTTCCGATAATAACCCCATGTAACCTGAAACTTGTAAAATGTACTTTAAATTTTACCCATAATAGCAAAGTGCTTACATTATTATATACACATACTAGCAATGTAAATGCAATTCCATACCATGTCAATAATAGCAACATGCAACATGAAACTTGTTAACATTTTATAAATTTCAAGTTATATATTGCTAGTATCTGTAACGAAATGTAAATACATTGCTATTATGGATAAAAAATAAAGTACATTGCTATTTTCCACAATTTGCCCAAAAGTTAATTAATCTTCCACTTGGTGTGAAATTCTGTTATCATTTCACATGCTGTTAGGTTGTTAAATCATGTCTCTGAGCTCTATTCTTGTTTGCCTTGTAATTTTACAGAAGCTTTATGGAATGTTTCTAAGTCAACAAGGACAGATGAGAAAGAAAGGGAACATAGGCGTGACATTGATGCTAATAAAGAGAAAGACAGATACAAAGAGAAGTATTGGGGGAAATCTATTCAAGAGCTTGACCTTTCTAATTGTCAGCGTTGCACTCCTAGCTACAGACTTCTTCCTGATGATGTAAGTCTGATAAATATTTTTCTTTTTTCTTTTTCATGGTTTGACAGTTTATATTTTGTATTTCGTGTTTTATAGTATCCGATTCCATCAGTAAGCCAAAGATCAGAACTTGGTACTCAAGTACTGAATGATCTATGGGTGTCTGTGACATCTGGTAGTGAGGATTACTCATTTAAACATATGCGTAGAAACCAATATGAAGAAAGCCTCTTTAGATGTGAAGATGACAGGTACAAATACAAATATACAATACAATATTTTCCCTAAAACAAATATATATATATATATATATATATATATATATATATATATATATATATATATATATATATACACACACACATCAAATGATGAAGTAAGTAACTTGTTTTCAATGATGCTTATAGGTTTGAGCTGGACATGTTGTTGGAGTCTGTGAGTTCAACTATTAAGCGTGCTGAAGAATTACTAAATGGAATTAATGACCGTTCGATTGGTTCAGATGCACCCATCCGTATGGAAGACCACTTCTCAGGTGATTATTTGACATGTTATATATAAGCAACATGCATTTTAGTTTGTATTTTGGTGTTAATTGTCGGATTATTTGTTATTTCTTTTGTAGTTCTGAATTTACGATGCATTGAACGTCTGTATGGGGATCATGGTCTTGATGTGATGGATACACTGCGTAAAAACCTTCCTGTTGCATTGCCTGTTGTATTGATTCGCATGAAACAGAAACAAGAGGAGTGGACAAAGTGTCGTTCTGATTTTAACAAAGTTTGGGCTGATATTTATTCAAAGAACCATTACAAATCACTTGATCACCGTAGCTTCTATTTCAAGCAACAAGATTCAAAGAATTTGAACGCCAAATGTAAGTCATTTATAATAGAGAAATTTACATATTTGGTCCCTGTGTGTAGCTGGTTTTTTCAATTTTGGTCGTAAAAAAACTTTCTTTTGTGTTTAATGGTTCTAATGTAAGGTTTCTGTAACATTTTTGGTCCTTGTTCCAAGTAAATGACTATTTTTGGACAAAAATTGCAAAAATCAGCTATACTTAGGGACCAAAAATGCAATTTACCCTTTTTCATATTACAAACTAAAATGCCTTTTATTTTATTGATGACCAGGCTTAGTGGGTGAGATTAAAGAAATAAAGGAAAAGAGCCAGAAAGACGATGATGTCCTTCTTAGTATTGCAGCTGGAAATCGGCACTCTGTTGTCCCAAATCTTGAGTTTCAGTTTAATGACAAGGATATTCATGAAGATTTATTTAAACTTATTAAATATTCATGTGAAGAGATTTGTACAACCAAGGAACAGCTGAACAAAGTATTGAAACTTTGGACCACATTCTTGGAGCCAATGCTTGGTGTTCCTTCTCGCCCTGATAATGTTGAAGATGTTGAGACATCTGCCAAAAATGAAGGTACAGCTGGCGATAGTGATGGAAGTCCAGGTGCTGATAGTGGCACAGGTAACCTTAACATCAAGCAAGGAAAGCAAACTCCCAATGGCGATGATGTAATTTCGCCAAAAAGAGTAGATTCAAGTAAGAACACCTTGGTCAATGGAGGTGCTTTGACCAAAGAAGATGGATTGAGAGTAGAGAAAGAGGTGAAGAATGTTGGTGAAAAAGATATCCAAGGACGCGATCCAACTCTTTCAAAACCAAATAACATTCATGAAGATGGTCAAACAAAGTCGAACATCGATGAAACAGTGGCAAATGGAGGTTTTACTAAAGCACCCAATGTTCTGAAATATGATGAACCTTCTAAATTTGAGAAAGAAGAGGGAGAGTTGTCACCGAATGGTGAGTTTGATGATGCTGACTTTGCTGTATATGATGAGGACAGTGAGAATGTTCCGGAAGGTGGTGATGTGTCAGGCAGTGAGTCAGCTGCTGATGAATGTTCAAGGGAAGAGAATGAAGAAGATGGAGATCATGATGATGTTGATGGGAAAGCAGAAAGTGAAGGAGAGGCTGAAGGGATAGAGGATGAAAATGGGACTTCATCATTGCAATCTTCAGAACATTATTTGGTCACTGCAAAACCATTGGCAAAACGTGTGGCTGCTCCTTTGCATAATGGTGGGAAAAAAGATTGTAATGTCTTTTATGGCAATGAGAACTTTTATGTACTTTTCAGGCTCCATCAAGTAAGAATACAGTTTTCTTATTTACCATTTTTACCCTTGCCTTTGACCTTCTGAATCTGTCAAGTGATTTGTTGTCTGTGTTTGATATTTTCAGGTTTTATATGATAGATTATTGTCAGCTAAACTTAATTCGATATCTGCTGAAACAAAGTGGAGAGCTACTAAGGACACCCCCCCACCTGATTTGTACTCCAGGTAATTCAATCAGTTCTTCATCTTAGGTTGTGTTTGATATGCTGTAATTGAAGAGGGAATGGAATGGAGCATTGTAATAATGGAATGTAAATATGTAATGATCCATTCTATTACCTTACCTGTAACCCATTCCATTCCTTTGTGATTCCATTCCATCGTGTACAACACCCTCAATTTCATGACAAGTATATATACTCACTAGTCTATAATTCTACTTTTCAGATTCATGAGTGCTCTATACAGTCTGCTCGATGGAACATCTGACAATGCAAAATTTGAAGATGATTGTCGGGCGATTATTGGAAATCAATCTTATGTGTTATTTACATTGGAGAAGCTAATTTACAAGCTTGTTAAACAGGCATGCACCCACTTTTTGTTTTACACACATTAATCATTGCTATCGCACTAAGTTTCTAATTGGTAATCACTCCTTTTTGGATTCAGCTTCAAAATGTTGCAGGTGATGAGGTGGACATGAAACTTCTTCAGTTATACGAGTATGAAAGATCTCGGAAGCCTGAGAAATTTCTTGATTCTGTATACTTTGAAAATGCACATGTCCTCCTTCATGAGGAGAACATATACCGATTTCAATGTGTAAGTTTGCCATTTTATTATTTCCCCCATTTTTTTGGCATATATATAAGAACTCTGGTTTATTTATTTTTTTCCTTATGTTTTTTGCAGTCATCTGGCCCATCTTGCTTAACCATTCAGCTGATGGATGTTGGGAATGAAAAGACTGAAGTGGTTGCGGTTTCTGTGGATCCTAATTTTTCAGCTTATCTTCACAATGATTTTCTTTCTGTTGTGCCTGGAAAAAAGGAATCTGGTATTATGTTGCAGAGGTAATAACTAATAAATATTAATACTGAGTAAATGAGTATATATTTATGTTAATATTTATTTTGTTTCCTAATTACGTGCAGAAATAAACGCCAATTCTCAGGCATGGATGAATCTTCTGCTATGTCAGCTGCCATGGAAGGCGTACATGTGGTGAATGGTTTGGAGTATAAGATGTCTTGCAGCTCATCAAAGGTAATTATTATCTTCCGTGGTATTGTTGAATGCGATTTTATTAGTATTATGCAATTTATTTTGCATATGATTAAACTGCACATGTGCACCTCTATAAAAATGTCTTCTATCTATTTGTTGTTGCAGAGTTGAGAATGTGTCACCAATCCCATCTTGAACACCTCAAATAAATGATACTTATTCTAGACACAAAAATGAGATTTTTTCTCTAGTGTGGTTCCAAAAATATTATATGATCTAATAAAGCCACTGGTCTTTTGGTGGTGAAATGAACAATTTCTATCTAATTCCGTTGTTGCCTTGTTCTTAAACCCTGTTTTTCTTTTGGGATAATTTGACAATTAGATCTTTGGCGATCTGAAAACCATATTTCCTTTCATTGTTGCTTCAAAACCTTTTGTCTAGAAAGATCATAATAATGCCTTTTGACTTTATTATTGTCGTAGTTATTGATTATGTGTCAATCCCATGTCAAGAGTGGAATTCTATAGAATAAATATTTCACCTTTTAGCAACGATAAGGTTTGTCTCTACAAGGAATGATACGTTATCAAGAGATTAGTCTTGAATTGATTACTTAACTACAAGTAGTAAGTTACTCTAAGCAATGAACCGGAAAACTTTAAGATAACTGCTTGAAATAAGATGAAATGAGGATTTCTCTCTTGTTTTGTGCTATCGAGAAGATATGTAACGTGGTCTTCCTATCTATAGCAACTTGTGTATAGTTGTGAGTTTAATCATGACCAAAAACAAAATATATACCATTAGTGAAAGACAGTGTTGCAAAATCGTTACTTTGTAGACTAGCAACTAGTCCGTCTAGGCGTTCAATGGGGGCTAGTTGGATTACCTAAGTTGTAAAGCAATTAGTTTTAGGGAAGTCAAATATGACCAATATCGTAGCGGAAAAGGTAAATAACAAGCTCAAAATAAGATATGTTCAAG